TCTCTGGTCTGAAGTATCCCGCATGCCTGCATCTCGAGCATCGTGTCAGGTTTGATGCATAATGATATCATATTGAAATCTCAGCCCACTTGTCACAAAGTCTGACACCTACTCTCCTCCTTTCTCATTCGGGCTTGGGACCATCAAAGGCAGAGTCAAAGGCAATGGTGGAGTGTATCTAGTAAGATAAAATATAGTAAAATACAATGAAGCATTCATACAATTATGAATAAAGTGAATAAAACATGCAATTCTGCATATTAAATATTTAAAATTTATGAAATGAATCTAAATAACAAAAAGAATCCGTTAACTTGGTGTATTAAACCTAACATTTATACTAAGGTGTTGTAAAATATGGTGTGTACATTATAATACCTAATAAAATAGAATCTAACAGGTATGAAATTCTATACAGATTCTATGGTCTCATAAACAAAGGAATGTTTCCTTTTCATATCTGCAGGCAACATAACTATATTTAGAGAGATTTGGAGAGACTGTATTGTTTCTACTAGACAGTAGATACCAAAGCTAAAATAAATTTAAGTGCATGTTATTTGAGATACATCATGGTACTTGGAAGATATTTCTCAGGAATTTAGACTGAAGGATCTCCATCAATAAGATGTTTTTATAGGATCCTATTGCTACAATATATTGTAGTTGCCTTGGACTTTAGAAATAAATAGTTAATTTATTAGAAATAAATAGTTCCATTTATTGTGGAATATATGTTGCTCTTCAGAATCTTCAGACATTTGACTAGCCAAAGTTTATCTCAGTTAATACTGTAGAATATACACTAGGTGTGCATCCAGCTTCCTGTATAGCATGGAAGACTAGTCACAGGTATTTGAATAATTGGACCCCATGTCCATTTAGCATATACATCTATGAACTTTAAGACACTTTGCAAAGACTGTAACATTGGTCTTATAATAATTAATCTATATACAGTATTCTACAGGAGACCATAACTTCTCAGGCCAATCTGGGTCAGTGCCACTAGAATTAAGTACGATTCTACATTTAATGCATTTAAAAATCAAATGCACAGGTACAGTATAGGTGATACCTGGCTCAACAATAGTAACTGTGAGAGGGATCTTGGAGTCCTAGTGGACAATCACTTAAATATGAGTCAGCTACCAAAAAATCCAATCCAATTCTAGGCTGCATTAACAGAGGGATAGAATCAAGATCACGTGAAGTATTAATACTACTTTACAATGCCTTGGTAAGGCCACACTTGGAATACTGCATCCAGTTTTGGTCACCACAATGTAAAAAAGATGTTGAGACTCTAGAAAGAGTACAGAGAAGAGCAACAAAGATGATTAGGGGACTGGAGGCTAAAACATATAAGGAACGGTTGCTGGAATTGGGTATGTCTAATTTAACGAAGAGAAAGATGAGGGGGGACATGATAGCAGTGTTCCAATATCTCAGGGGCTGCCACAAAGAAGAGAGAGTCAAGCTATTTTCCAAAGTGCCTGAAGGCAGGACAAGAAGCAATGGATGGAAACTAATCAAGGACAAAAGCAACCTAGAACTAAGGACAAATTTCCGGACAGAACAATTAATCAGTGGAACAACTTGCCTCCAGAAGTTGTGAATGCTCCAACACTGGAAGTTTTTAAGAAGAGATTGGATAACCATTTGTCTGAAATGGTATAAGGTTTCCTGGGGGTTGGACTAGAAGACCTTCAAGGTCCCTTCCAATTCTGTTTATTCTAGTCTAGTCTAGTCTAGTCTAGTCACATGGTGCAAAGAAAGGATTAATACATGTTTGTATGCCATTTTAGGGGGGAATGATATGCCAAATTACACAAAGTGGAAATCAGATTTATATAAATATATTTATTTATATAAATAAATGTTTAACAATTTAGGAGCCAGGATATAATTCTGTATAGCTCCTTTAGTGATCAAGTTTTCCTTAATATAGTGGGCCTGCATAGATTATCAAACTTTTACCTTAGATTTATCTTGATTTGTTTTTGCAGTAATAGAAGCTAACATCTACTGACGGAGAATTCTTTCATTGTGTGGCTATTACAAATTAAGTCAAAGGGATATTTAACATCTACAAAAGCAGTATATAATATGCAACTAAGATTAACTATATATTTTTTCAACCAAGTATCAGGACATCTGCCTTTGTTGGAGGGAAGGTGGAGTACCACAGGACATGAAGGATGCAAATATCGTCACACTGTATAAGAACAAAGGTGACAGGGTTGACTGTAACAACTATTGCAGCATCTCTCTTCTTAGTGTTGTAGGGAAGCTGCTTGCCCGTGTCGTATTGAAGAGGCTCCAGGTGCTAGCAGACACAGTCTATCCAGAATCACAGTGTGGATTCCGAGTCAACAGGTCCACTACTGATATGGTATTTTCCCTTATACAGTTACAGGAGAAATGCAGGGAACAAAGACAGCCACTTTCTGTAGCCTTCATAGATCTCACAAAGGCTTTTGATTTGGTTAGTAGGAATGGCTTATCTAAAACCCTCCTCAAGATTGGATGTCCACTTCAGCTCCTCAACATCATCAGGTCCTTTCATGAGGATATGAAGGGCACTGTTGTGTTTGATAGCTTAATATCTGATTCTTTTGACATTCAAAGTGGAGTGAAGCAAGGCTGCGTCCTCGTGCCAACTTTATTCAGGATCTTTTTTGCTATCATGCTGAAACACGCTTTTGGAACTGCAACAGAGGGTATCTATCTCTGGACCAGATCAGATGGAAAACTCTTTAATCTCTCTAGACTGAGAGCAAAGTCTAAAGTCCAGCTGAAATGCCTACAGGATTTCCTCTTTGCTGACGATGCTGCCATTACTGCTCACTCTGTCAAAGATCTTCAACAACTTATAGACTGTTTTAGTAAGGCCTGCCAAGACTTTGGTCTAACAATCAGCCTGAAAAAAACACAAGTCATGGGTCAGGATGTGGATTCACTTCCCTGTATTACAATATCTGCACAAGAACTGGAGGTTGTCCATGACTTTGTGTACCTCGGCTCAACTATCTCCGACACTCTCTCTTTAGATACTGAGCTGAATAGACATATTGGTAAAGCGGCCACCACATTTTCCAGACTTACAAAGAGAGTATGGCTTAATAAGAAGTTGACAGAACATACAAAGATCCACGTCTATAGAGCCTGCGTCTTGAGCACACTCTTGTATTGCAGTGAGTCTTGGACCCTTTACGTATGGCAGGAGAGAAAGCTGAACACGCTTCATATGCGCTGTGTCCGACGCATTCTCAGCTTCGCCTGACATGACAAAGTCCCAAATAGCACAGTCCTGGAATGTGCTGGAATTTTTAGCATGTATACATTATTGAAACAGCGATGTCTACGTTGGCTTGGGCATATCATGAGAATGGCTGATGGTCAGATTCCGAAAGATCTCCTGTATGGAGAACTAGTGCAGGGAAAGCGCCCCAGAGGGAGACCTGAGCTGCGATATAAGGACAACTGCAAGAGGGACCTGAAGGCCGTGGGAATGGACATTAACAGCTGGGAATCCTTGACCTCTGATTGTTCAGCCTGGAAGCTAAAGACGCAGCATGGCCTTCTCCAATTCGAAGAGACACTTGTGTGGCAGGCTGAGGCAAAGAGGCAGTCCTGGAACCAGCGAAATCTGGGGGCTGGAAGGGGACAGATTGTATCTGCCCTCATTGTGGAAGGGACTACCACTCTCGAATTGGCCTTTTTAGCCACACCAGATGCTGTTTTAGGACCTCTTTCCAGAGCACGATACCATAGTCTCTCGAGACTGAAGGATGCCAATGAATATGATGATGAATGATCAGGACTTGGTTTATATGGATGAAACCTTCCCCAAAACCAGCATGCTCATCTGCCAATATGTGTTCTACTTCAATTTAATCCAATAGTTTCTTTCTTAATTGAATAGTATACATCTTGCTAATAACATTCAGCAAGCTAATAGGTCAATAATTAGAAGGAACATTCTTTTTAGCTTTTTATAAATAGAGATCATTATTGCAAAACCACATTCCCAAGGGAATCTTGCAGTGCTATCTTTATGTGTAAAAAAGGAAAGTTAATACAGGACTCCACCAATCTAATTTCCTATATATAATTTCTGTAGTAATACAATCATTTGTCTGGTGCTTTTGTTTAGCCTGAGATGCAGTTCCTGCATTTGGAGGGCTCATTGTACTCTACAGGTGTCAGACGCTGAAATATTGAGTAATTAGATAATGAGGTTGGCTTCCAGCTACTGGGGTACAAGGAGCCATATTTTCAGCACAGCTATTATATGTGGGTATCCTGATATGTGTAGCATTATCTGATTCCTCACTAAAATATTTATTCATCTCTGGAAGTGACCCTGAATATAATGGCTCAAAGAATACCTCTATTTGGTAGCCCTCACTGTCACGTCCCTAAGTATTGCCTAAAGATTTTGGGGGTCAAGTAATACTACAGGAAATACTAGGGCTGAAGTATTTATTTGTAAAAACATTCAAATTATCTGAAAGGCTGTCTGTCAAGACAGACAAAGCTCTCTGTCTGGGTAGGAAGAGAGAAAGAAATTGCTATTCTGTCTCTGTTTTGGATGCCAAGTGGCAAACCTCAACAATATATTCTAAAGGTACAAAGTGAGTTAATGTGTAACTGGTGGGAGGGGCTCCAATTATGGAATAATCTGGAGTCTCCAGGAGCTGCTAATAAGGTAAGCCAGCTGTGAAGCTATCTATTAATAAGATCTACCAATGAGGATTTTTTAAAAAATGAAATAAATTGTTAATAATGGGTTTCTGTTCTACAGGAAAGAAAAAAATGTTTGAGGGTAGTTAACAAAGCAGTTCCAACAATGGAAACAAATGAGAGTACATGCAGATGGTGCTCCATTGTTTCCTTTATTTTAGCCACCACAAAGATTGTGCTAGAAAAATGTGCTTAAACCAGCGAAGCTCCTGCTAAATAAAGCCTAGAAACAAGAATCTTTAGCAGATAAGATGTATGAGCTCCAAAAGATTATGAGGATCACAAGTGCCTTTGATAATGATAATGGCAAAGGGTCAAGGCAAATGATAGCAAAGGTAGTTTGCTAAACCCCTGACAAGCTCTTCAAATAGGATATGAGGAAGATTCATGTGAAGAAAGAGAAAGTTAAAAAAAAATCAAAGGAGTCCATCTGATTGAATAATGGGAAAAATACATTATTTTAATTTTAGAAATTAGGATAATGGTTTTGAAGAAATTGAAGTTGGTTGATAAAATTGATTCTAGGACTATGCACACTTTGCAAATGATTTAGAAACTATTTTTTTACAAAAATGGTTTTGTTCTTATGTCAACTTGTTCTAAAGACCATGGATGAATATGTTAAAAATATAATATGACAAATGAATCTTATTGCTTCTTTTTTGACAAAGTGTCTAGATTAGGAGACCAAGTATAATGAGAATTCCTAGGGTTTTCAGTAAAATTAACCATAGCTTCTTTATATATAAAATAGAAATATATGGGATGAATACTGTAGTTCCATTGCTCGACTGGAAGTTGTTTGAATAACTATATCCAATAATGTGGCTTTTAATGAATTTGTCCCTGCATAGAGAGAGGTATGCAAGTGGGGGGTACTTCAAAGTTTTTTTGGGAATTCAGTGGGATGCTGAGCAAATTTGCATATGACACTAAGGGGCTATTGCTAATAGCATAGAAAAATGGAGTCAAAATTCAAAAGGCTCTTTTCAGTTTGAACACACAGCTTTTTCCAACAAAATGCAACATCATAATAATAATAATAATAATAATAATAATAATAATAATAATAATAATAATAATAATAATAATAATAATAAAGTTGGAAGGGACCTTGGAGGTCATCGAGTCAAACCCCCTGCTCAGGCAGAAAACCCTACACCATTTCGGACAGATGGCTGTCCAGTCTCTTCTTAAAAAATTCCAGTATTGAAGCATTCACCACTTCTGGAGGCAGGTTGTGCCACTGATTAATTGTTCTGTCAGGAAGTTTCTCCTTAGTTTTAGGTTGCTTATCTCCTTGATTAGTTTCCATCCGTTGCTTCTTGTCCTGCCCTCAGGCACTTTGGAGAATAGCTTGACTCCCTCTTCTTTGTGGCAGCCCCTGAGATATTAGAAGACTGCTATCATGTCCCCCCTCGTCCTTCTCTTCGTTAAACTAGACATACCCAATTCCAGCAACCGTTCCTCATATGTTTTAGCCTCCAGTCCCCTAATCATCTTTGTTGCTCTTCTCTGTACTCTTTCTAGAGTCTCAGCATCTTTTTTACATTGTGGTGACCAAAACTGGATGCAGTATTCCAAGTGTGGCCTTACCAAGGCATTGTAAAGTGGTATTAATACTTCATGTGATCTTGATTATATCCCTCTGTTAATGCAGCCCAGCACTGAGTTGGCTTTTTTGGCAGCTGCAGCACACTGCTGGCTCATATTTAAATGATTGTCCACTAGGACTCTGAGATCTCTCTCACAGTTACTACTATTGAGCAAGGTACCCCCTATACTATACCTGTACATTTAGTTTTTCTTGCCTAAATGTAGAACCTTACTCTTTTCACCATTGAATTTCATTTTGTTAGATAGCGGCCAGTGTTCAAGTCTGTCCAGGTCCTCCTGTATCTTAAGCCTGCCTTCTGGAGTGTTAACATTGGGTTATATATTTATATATGAAAAATCAGAGATATAGAGACAAGATAGATTATGCCTGGCTCTGCAGTAGTATATCTGAGAAGGATATGGGTTTTCTGGGAAGTCTAGAGATTAAATATGAGCCATCAGTATGCTGTAGCTGCCAAAAGAGACAATGCAGTCTTGGGATAGTCAACCTAGGTTTAATGTTGAAATCATGGGAACTGATTATTTCACCATATGTTGCAATAGAATACCATGTCTAATTTTGGTTGCCACAGTACAAGAAAAATACTGAGGACATAAAGTAGAGAAGAATAACAAAGATAGTGAGGGGGTTGGAGCCTACATTTTATGAAGAATGATGTATTTAATCTTAAAAAAAGGATAAGGGGAGACATAACAGTAATTTTCTAATATTATCTCTAATATTTGAAGGGCTATCACAAAGAAGAGGATTATGGATGTATTATCCACAGGGCCCAGAAACTCTAAACAAAAACAGCATGTGATGCAATTATTACTATTTTATAGTATTAAGATTATGAAGTGTGTGTGTGTATACATACCCACACACATCATGTATGTGTATGTCTGTATGTCTGTATGTACAATGTTTGTGTGTATTTACACACACACACATCATAATACACACACCCACATACACACTCACACAACAATCCATCTTGTTTTAGATCTCTTTCGTGGAAAATATGAAACCAATTTCTATTTTCAAACAAATTAACAAACAACAAAAACATTTAATGTGGGATATCAACCATAAGATTGCTCATATAATTTTTTTTAAGTATTCAGCAAAGGAGAGATCTATCATTGCACTCAGTAAGGTCAAAATATTATAAAGTTTATCTGGAATCCCTATCTCACCTTCCTTCAAGTAAAAAAAAAAATGAAGTGAAAAATGATAGAACTCCAAATTAGGTTTGTGATGGATGCTGAAGCAATGTGGGGCTAGAATAGTTGACTTGTTCTATTCCAAAAATATTTCTTGTAAGTATATTTGTCATATAGTAATCTACCAATTCACGATGCTTCTCATGAATTAACTACTGATATATCTAATGTTCTTGCTGAAATATTCATAGGCTGACTGCTATTAATTTCCAGCTATCTTATTCTTTCAGTTTGTGACTTTCAGGTAAATCAGTGGTCTGTGATCTGTGTCTGCCACAGTAAATGAATGACATCTGTTGTCACCCCTGGATTATAGGTTTGCATCCTTTATTAAAAACAACCAAGCTTAATTCAACCCACCAGTTATAGTCTACTGATTGCCCTGACCCTGTATTTTTGCATTCTTTGGCATGCAGAAAAAATGGCCCATTGTATTTGATTTGTGCCCAACAGCAAGATGAGCCCAAGATCAATTTCTCTCTGCTTTTAGAATGTTGGTTGACAGTCCAAATTCTGCCACCATTGCTAGTCCAATGCAAAGACAAATGCTGGCCACACCCAGCAGAATCATCAGATATTCCAGAAATGCAACAGAGAGAGGCTGTGGTTTCTAGGCTAAGAACATATAACTGTGTGAGTTGGTGGTACATGATAGAAAACAAGCAATATGCTTGCTTTCTTCTGTGATGGTTGTCTCTTAAATGTCAGGAGAAAAACTTCATTCTCTCTTGTATTAATTACTGTGCCTTGGAGTACAATGAAAATGTTTCTGCTGATTTTGACTTCTTTTCTATCAGTGCTATTCTTACTATGTGGTTGTTTTTTGTTCTATTTTTAATTGCCTTCTTACATTTATAAGCCCATTAGCAGAGAAGGTCAGCTTAGATAAATATATTTTCAGCTCTGTCTAAATAATACATAAGTAAATTTCCCAAATCTATAAGTTTTGGGGACAATCCTTTTTGTAGCAGGACTGGAAGCAACTGAAATCCTAGATCAACTCTCCTGGACATTCCCAGTAATGGGCACACTAATTCTCTCCCCCCCTCTCTCTCTCACACACACAAACACACACACACACACACAGAGAGAGAGAGAGAGAGAGAGAGAGAGAGAGAGAGAGAGACAGACAGACAATTTGTCTAGAACAGCCTATCCATTTGGGTACTAGCCAAATGAGTGGGATGCAACTCACTGAGAGTTAAATCCCATTCATCTGGATAGTACCCAGTTGGGAAGGTTGTTCTAGACAAATTTAGTTTAAAGCAGCTTTTTATATGTGTGTGTACTATTTAGTTGAACTGTGAAGGGGCAATTTTCATCTTTCATATACCCTCTATGCCAGTGGTTCTCAACCTTTCTAATGCCGTGACCCCATAATACAGTTCCCCATGTTGTGGTGACCCCCAAGTGGGTGTGGCCACCAATAAGAGGGAGTAGGACAGCTAGGGAAAAGGGAAAAAATGGCGGACAGCGTGGTTTGGTGACCCCCGTGAAATGGTCATTCGACCCCAAATGGGGTCCCGATCCACAGGTTGAGAACCACTGCTCTATGCTAATAATGATATTTTTTGCCAAGGCCACACAACCTATTCATGGCTGATGTTTGACTGCCCTCAAATCCCAAAGCTAATTTGACCACTTTGTTGAAAAGACCACATATTGATAATTCTCACAGCACTTCCAGGTTTATTTCATTTCTCATTGCCAACACTCTCATTGGATTAAGCTACAATCCAGTGCATATTTAATCAGAAATGAGCCTTGCTGTATTCAGCACAGAATTCAGTGAATATAGTGTTTACTCCTTAGTAAGTATGTTTAGAAAGATAGTCTAAATGGTAATATGGCTGTCATTAGTCATGTGACTTGCAACCAATTAATCAAATCATTAAACAATTAGATTTAAATGTCTTAAATTATAGTTGCAAATTGCAACCATCTCAATAAAGTTTGAGGTACTGTATATTGAAGGGTATAGTAATTTACAGCCTGGTAAATCAATGCATATTTTAAATGATGGTTAAAGTAGAAAGGGCGCCTTTTAATGTTTTCATTTTTTTATTCCCTATCACAGTGACAAACTAGAACTAAAATGGCATAAGTGTGCTGTTAATTCATATTCACGCTGATGAAAATTGGAACTTGCTGATTAGAAGTGGTGTCCTTTGATTAATCGCCTAAAGCTTTAGCTGATTAAGAAGCCAATTATAGCTTATAGCTCTGCTTATTGTTGGAGTAGAGTTTATAAAGGAAGTGTTTTAGCTCACATGGTATTCTTATGTACTCATGAATGGAATTTTACCAAGTGCAACCTGGAGGAGAATTCTGTAACCTATATATCCCCCATAATGGAGAACATACAGCTATAAGCTTAGGGAAAAAAAATGGGAAGAGCACTCACTGATGCTTACAAAGCATCTTATGCTGAATTTTTTGTTCAGTTCGGAAGTTCTTTTTCCTCTTGTGGTGAAATATATAGCTTATCTCTTAAACATGCAGATTGTGTGTTCTTGTCATCTTTTTTTCTTTTTCCTTAAATCTCTGAGAAATTATACTTACAGATCTTATATATGGTAATTATACCATGTGTCTCATATAAAGCTCACAGTATCAGTGATAGATCTTACATCTATAACTGCAAAGAATGCAACAGAATTACATTCTCAGGACCAAGCATCTTAAAACAGAATAAGTTACTCCCCAAACCCTCACCACAGATATTCACGAGAGATTTTTCAAATAAGCCTTATATTTTCATATTTCAACTTGGAAACATAACTTTTATTATATTTCCATTGCTGAAAATCCTCCTGTAGGAATATTTCATAAGGGATCTAGTTTTAACTTCATTCAGGCCCCTTCCCTAGCATTTTCTCTGTTTTGCTCCTTTTCGTTTATACCTGCTCCAAACAGATTTACTTCTATGCTCTTTTAATCATTCTGGATATTAGATAAGGAGTTTCCAGGGGCCATTTTTCCAATCTCCATTGATAGGAAAAAGACAAAAGATCAGCAATAATCTAACATGAGTTTTCTAGGTAATAAAGAGCTGTGGTGGTACAGTGGTTAGAATGCAGTATTGCAGGCTGACTCTGCTCACTGCCAGGAGTTTGATCCTGACTAGATCAAGATTGAGTCAACCTTCCATTCTTCCAAAGTGTATAAAATGAGGATCCAGATTGTTGGGAGCCAAAATGCTGACTCTGCAAACTGCTTAGAAAGTGTTGCAAAGCACTATGAAGCGGTATATAAGTCTAAGTGTTATTGCTAATAAATAATGCTTGAGGTGACTAGTCATGCAATTTTAATGCTGTGTTCTTGTATGCTAATCATGAATTCATTTGGGAACTGTCTAAATAAAGTAAAGTGAGGTGTTGGGATTGATGCATTGTGTTACCAGCTTTTATAGGAGAAAATTTCTTTTGAAGCAATTACTATGTTCATCATTCAAAAAAGCCACTGGAACTTATACTATATTCAATAGTCAAATTACTTATCTTAACCTTCAGAAAATATGGAAAGTATGTTATGCATTATGAAACAAGTCAGTGGAGATTTAAGTGGATACTTAAATTACGACAACACCCTTCTCACAAAATCCCGCAGGTTCCCACCTTTTTAGTCTCATGATGAGCTGGTTGTTCCCCTTGTTGCTAAAATTGGATAAGACTGGAGTCCAAGGATTATTTAATAGTTTGGATATTACAGGATAGAAGTGTGCGGTTTTCTAGATTTCTTGTCTTTGCCTCTTATAATTTTATTTTATTTTTATTTATTATTTATTAAATTTGTATGCCACCCATCTGCCCCATAAGATGACTCTGGGCAGCTATTATTGCTATGAGCTTTTCAGGGATGGATTTTAGAAGATATGCAGCAAGTTTCAATAATAAATAAATAAAAAGTCAGAATGTATTGAAAGCATTCTTGTATTTTAAAATAAATTATTATTCCATACTACAATGTGTCTGAAAATTATGGATTTTTCATTCGGAAATCTGAAGCCCAACATATAAATTGCATTTTCAAAGGTGCACATAGAACTTGATAACACACTACTAACTTTTGATAATCACTGCTTCTTGCCTGAACATTCAGAGCTCATTTACTCCCATTATATAAGAAAAAAAGACACTCAGTAAGTCAGGAGCATGAGTTCAACATTCTAATTTTTTTTTTTTTTTGTAATTCAGGAGAAAAAAAAAGTTGGATTGTGCCATGGTAATGCAGAAGTGCATTAAACCTGAATTTTCTTAGGGGTTGAAGGAATAAGGACGATGATTCTGACTCATATAATTTTGTTTTTGTCTTTTGGTCACTCAAGCTATGCATTTACTTTTAAGAAATATCTACAGCAAATGTAATGCAATTAGCAGATTATTCTGTTTTAAATCTGACTGCTGAGTGCAGTTCTATAATCAGAAAAAGTAAAACGTTGATGAACTTTCTTGGAAGAAGGGTTTAGAAGGAAGGTTAAAAAAAAATTCCCTCTTTAAAGAAATGGATTTCTCATGGACAATCTTGAAAATTGATAGCAGCTTGTTTAATTTCTCGGAATCATAGCCTTGGAATTTGTTGTACAGAAGCACATAGACAGATAACGATGTCTTCTCTTTTAGGTGATGCTTGTACAATGGCAGACTACAGTCAACTGAAGGGGATCCTCCTGGATCTTCAGTCACATCGTCAGAGGCAGCAAAACCAGCCAGGAGAAGACAGAACCCAAAAGCGCTTCTTAGTCGAAGATATGTTTAATTACTTGGATATAAATGGTGATGGGCACCTCAGCAGCTCTGAATTGGCTCAGGTTAGTTGCTATTTGATGGAAACTGAATTAGGAAGTGGATTGCCTTTTTCATCCAAGGTGTAAACTGAATGTAAACACAACGAAACTATTTTGGCAATAGCCTTTTGTTAAATGCTATTCAAAACTTAACAACAAACTCTTTCATTATTGCTGAAGGCTTTTTGTAGTTGTTGGGTTTTTTTAGTGTTTTTTTTTTTAAAAAAAAATTGGTATTCATAGGATATTCCTCAAACTTACAACCATAACTGGGACTGGAATTTTCAACGTAGGTCATGAATCAAATTGGATCAGATTTTGTGACAATTTTTACAGTGATATTAAGCAAATCACTGTAGCTGTTAAATGAATCACCGGATCCTCAAGCAAATCCAGCTTCCCCAGTGGGTAGGTTTTACCATATTTAGCCAGAACTTGGCAAAAAGATTGCAGCTAACAATTGTGTGACTGCAGGATGCTGTAACAGTTGTAAATGTGAGCCAGTTGCCAAACATTCTTCCATATTGTGCTTACGTGACCATGAAGATGTGTGACAGTTGTAAGTGAAAGTACAGGTCTTAAGTCACTTTTTCCAAGGTTGTCCTAATTTTGAGCCACCATTAAACATAAGGTCATAACTCAAGGACTACCTATGGATTACAAAATATGAAGTAGCTATGTGACATTTTTCCTCTTCATCAAAAATTGATCTATGCTGGATTTTTTTTCCAAATATGTCTTCCTTCTTGAGAAATGTGTGTGTGTGTGTGTGTGTGTGTGTGTGTGTGTGTGTGTCTGCATGAAAATATATTAAAACTAAAACATAAGGTAATGTCAGAACATCATCCTTTCCTAAAATGATTTAATAAACTTTACTAAACTATTATTTATCATCTATTCATACAGTATCATTTTGTAGTTGGAAAAGAGTTAATTAGCTATAAAAAAGAAAGCAGTGCTTCCGGAAATACTGTTTTTATAATGACCATGATTATGTTGTATCTCTAGAACCCTGAGCATTATCAGGTTACAATCAGAAAGAGCATGATGGATTGGCTGGACCAGTTATCTCAACCATGTATTTATATATATTAATGAGATGACATCAGAAACAAACCTTTCTTAGGAGCAAATTGTACACAGCAGATAATCCTGTTTGCCTCTAATTTTCCTTCTTACGCCATTACTTATTATACCTACTGCTTCCTCCCTGAAATATGAGAAAGCATATATGTTAAAAAGTATTAGACTGTCAAAATGTATGCAGAATTTGAAGTTTCACCTAGCATTCCTTGATCTGAAGTTCAAACTTTGTTGAATTATAATAATTAATTACAAAATAAAGCTCTTTCCCATTCCATAATTAGCATCCACCCACTTGCTTTCTAAACTTCTCCCTCTGGTGATCTGTGGCTCATCGATCATTCAATTTCTCACTTTGCTGCTACAACCCCCAAAATAATATGTATGTGCTGAAAAAAATCATTCATTTCCATTCCTCCCTGATCTAGAGCAGAAAAGTGTTTTTAAAAATAGTAGATTTAGAGTTGATCAATAAGTGAGACATAAGGAGAAAGATTAGAAATTCATTGGGAGAAGGGATGGGGGAAGGATTGAATTATTTTGCAATCCTGATTGACAGAACAAGGAAGTCCAATTTTCTTGTCTCATTTATTTTTTTTTATAATTTTTAAATTTTTAATTCTAAAATTTTACATTTGGCATTTCAATTTTTATATACTATTTCACAGTGCTTTTTTTTCTAAAAAAAAAAAAAAAAAAGGTGCCGGAACTCACACACGTCCTACAACCCGCCTTGCCTACCCTACAAGGTTCCATCCAAAAAAGGTGCTGGAACTCCATTCTGGGTGTTCTATGAGAAAAAAAGCTCTGCTATTTCATATTTTGATGCTGTATTGTACACCACCCAGAATCCCTCTGTGAGGGAGATGGGCAGTTCAGAAATATGCTATATAAATAAATATAAATAAATAATGTACTTATGCTTTGAATAAACCAGTCTATATCTCAGCTGATGGGGGGCGGGGGGATGAATTGGTTTCCTTCAATCCAGGAGAAATGAAAGGAGGGCCTATCACTGGACTAGAAAAAAAACTGAAAGAAAATGAAGGCCTTCATGTAACGTGCAGAGTCTTGCCAGAAGAAATGAAAAGCAACATATTGTCAAACAGTAAATTAGTTATAACAGTATCCAAAACAACATATGTTTTTATCAGTGACTCATTCTAGGTCATAAAAGTAGCAGGAGTAGTAGAATAATAGTAGCAGCAGCAGCAATATTAATAATTTCTCATCGTTCATTTATATCAAGACTTCATTACTAGTATTATTTATAGCATTATTATGTATGAAAAAGAATAGAGCCCCAGGCAGGTATCCAAGAATACAACTACAATGAAAAGTAAAGCAAAGATGTGCAGATCATCCCAATCTCAGGCAGCCACAGCCAAGTCAAATTATATCTACATATTTGATGGCTATCTGAGGAAATGTGATCATGTTGTGTCCTTTATGAGCAGTGAAAATTCTAGAAATTGCACTACAGTGTTCGTTTCCATTTGAATAAGGGAGTTTTAGGAGCCTCATGGTAACATTTGTTCTATTTATAAATATTCAAGCAGCATCTATTGGAAACAAATGCATACTATTAAAAAGGAGATCAGTAAATTTGTTCATAATCATAACTAATTAATAGTTTGTCACTTGGTTATCTAATGTGTATTCCCACGTTTACCGGGATTGTACAAATTCTGGAAAAAGAGTTTTAGATACAGAGCATGTTAGTGTCTCTCAGCTACTCATTGCAAGAGCCTTGTATGTATGAGCCCATATAAAATATGCCACTGCCTTAAGGGTCACAGGTTTCCTTTTTTCAGATTCACATGGAAGTATAAAGAAAGTCAGGTTACTAGAATAAATACCAGAGAAATGCCAAGATTATGAAGTGGGGATAAATCCCACCACAAACACATACACAAGCAAGCTGCACTTGGACAAGGTTCAAAGCTTTCTTCTGAACCGTTTTCAACAGCTCTGCCCAAGATGGTCACGAAAAGCATTGAAGACTCTCTCTGACAGCCAAAGGTTGAGTTTGACAAAGTTCTCCTCAGATCTGTCCTTCTAATTATGGAATGATCTCCTGGAAAAAAATTGTCTGGCATTTACATTAATGGCTTTTTCTGACATGTGAGGCAGCGGGTTCATCACCCCTCATAGTACCAAGTTAATGTTATTTTAACAACATTTTAACATATTTTAGAATCATTTAAAATGTAATACTTTCAGTATTAATCTCTGATTTGGGGCAATTAGTGCTTTCATCTTTAGGTTAGTTTTCTCTAATGTGTTTTTGTTTTATTCTTTACAAAATGTTGAAAAGATACTCTGTAAAGACAATTAGGATTTGGTGTGTCAGTCTATCCATCTGTGTATCAGCAGGAAAAGTTTATGAAAACAGAACAGATTGGGACCAAATTTGGTATGGAAAGGTAGAGTTCAAAATGGTTAAAATTGAGTACTTTTAAGTACTCTGCAGAATATCAGAAGGAACTAGTTTTTTGCTTCCTTTTCTATTCTTGCACTTTTTGCTTTCTCTTTATTTCTCTCATTTTTCTTTTTTTTTTCTTTTACTGGCCTATTTGTGTTAGTTTCTAGCCTTATATAAATGTTTTAATAAAAATTATGCTTAAAATGATTAATACTGAGATAGGGGAATTCCAAAATTCACCCTTGGTGGAAGGCAATTGGAATGTTTCCATCTGCTCCAGAAGTCCTGCTTCTTCCTCCAATCTGATCATTTGTTCCAGAGCAAATTTGCTATTGAAGGCTTGGAAAAAAATCCATATTATGCTCTGCAGGATGTCTGCGCCTGGATTTATTATTATGGTTCATCACAAACAATCAGCCAGATGTTTAGGCTGGATTTGGCATTTTATCCACCTATCAAATGCTTCCCAAAAAGCTGGGATAGACAGATGTTGTATGATGGTGTTAAAAGTATATTATTAGTTCTAAATTATTCTAGATTATTTTGTGGTTCTGGATATATGATATTTATTTTGTATGTTGATTAGCGTAATTAGATTTAGGGAAGCAGCATCATTTGAACAAAATTAATTTGTTGTTCCTTTTTCAATAGTAGAGAAATATATTTATTCTTATGCAGATTTCAACATTAACAGGAGAGATACTTTCAACTTCCCTGTCACAATTCTTTGAACCCAGTTGTGGCTATCAGAGGTTGATGTCATTTACTTTATGCACAATTGACAGCATTTAGTATCTCTACCTGACAACATACAATGTCAGATTATTGTGGAGGGGTGGTAAGATTTATTACATTAATAAACAAAATAATATGGTGCAAATTTTTCAAGAATGTGTCCTCCCAAAAGAACAAGATTCCTATTAAAGTCTATATCTTGATCCAAATATTGGCATGCAACATACATATCTTCTCCCCATCAGCAAATACACTTCCCAATAGTGTAAATATACACAATGTAAAATGACTACATTTAAAGAAAAGCCATTATGCAAGAGAAAAAAAGCATATCTTATTCCCATTAGGCATATGTGACTCATTTTAAACCTGGCCAATGTCAGTTTTGCAAATATTCACTTATTATCCATTCAAATTATTCTTCTGTAAATTATTTTAAAATAAAAGAAAATCTGCAGTTATAACCCTATGCTATTTTTTAAAATATATTTTAAAATGCAACTACCACAATACAGGCCAATGATGGCGAACCTTTTAGAGACCAAGTGCCCAAACTGCAACCCAAAGACCATTTATGTATCATCGGGTGCTGGGTGGGCATGGCCCATTGGGTGGGCATGGCTTCAGTGGTAACGGCAGACTGGGTGGGACTAAAAAGTTCAATCAATCAATTCCAACTTTGCAAGATCTTTTTTTCCCATGAGAAGTTGAAATTGATTGATTTATTGAACCTTTTTTTTTTTTTTGCACACAGCAGTGGAGGCCTAAAGCGAAAAGGTTT